ACACACACACACACACACACACACACACGCGCGCGCGCGCGCGCGCGCGAACGAGAATCAATCCATCCGGATTCCTTCCGACATTCTGTTGTAGCCACCGATCTACGTCTGAATTGTATTCGACTTGTGAAACCGATAATATAATGTGTGTGGGGCTACTAATTCTATTATATTTCTACATCTCTCTCATCCGAATATATGCTACTCTACATGCCATTATATTGTTCTATATTTTCTACACTACTATGCACTACTATGTATCTATATCTATATATACTACTTTGTCCGAATTCTACGTGACCGTACAGCATGTGTAATATAACTAGGAGTGACGGTGTTAACCTACTTGCAGTCGGAACGCCAAAGGACTCGAGCGGAAAGACGTCGGGAAAGACGTCGAGCAACGCGGTGAAGTCGTCGGATATCGCGCCGGACGATGAGACAGAGGAAGCGACGGTGGAGGGTAAGAGAGGGAGGCGGGTGGGGCTGTAGACGCTCAGTTTCGTGGCGCGGTAGCAAACATGCAGTATCTATCGATCCCTTCTCTAGCTGCTGTTAGCGTTTAATGATCGCTAGTTTTCTCAGACCTTCACACCGAGAATTCGAGATCCAATCGTCTTTATGATGGAATTCTTCATATGATTCTTCAAAATTTCTTCAAATTCTTCAAATTCCTCAAAATCTTTCTCTGTTTTTCAAATGATTATACAAATCAGTTCATATGATTCTTCAAAATTATTCGATATCAAATATTATCATCGATTCATCGATTATATTTCGGTGTGTGCGGGGCAGACTGCCGTGCAACAGAAAGGTCACCTGACTAGGGAAAATATCAAACGAGATATTTGAGACGCAGGCATTGCCACCCGAAAATAATTAAGGGAACCGCTAATATTCCCCAATGTTCGCTGGTGAAAAGGTCTAATGTTACCATTACTGTAGCTTACGCTGCTGTGGCTGGCGTCGCCATTGTAGTTGTCTTTATTACTATTGTTGTTGACGTTACTGTTGTCGTTGTTTTTATTGTTTTTGATTCGAACAATGTCGATGTTGGCATTGATATTTTTATTGTTGCTTTTATTATTTTTGTTTCTCATAATACTATTGTTGTCTGTCATGTTGTTTTATTAACATTATTGTTGTCGTGCTTGACATAGTTGCAGTAGCGGTCAGTACATTTAGTAGTTCAGTTTCAAGTATTTATAGTGTCTGCCACGACGTGTCGCTTCCATCGCTGCTCCCGGCCGCTAGGTGGCGCTGCTACGATCTCTTTCATTGATGCGTAGATGAGATCGGTTCACTGGTCGTCGAACCAGATGACTCAGAGCTGCAGGAAGAAATGAATAACCTCGTGGCCCAGCTCTCCATCCCCACTATGATGCTAGTGGGCGATCCCGACCCAACCCCCGTTAACTCGCCGACAAGTGACGACCCAGGCGGTGAGCTATAACGATCACCCAAAACCTCATCATCCTTTCCTCCTTCTCATGATCGTCTTCTTTCAGGCCCTACTCATCCTCCTCCCCTACCCCTTTCCCATCATCTTCATCTTCTTCTTCTTTCTCCTCTTCCTACTCTTCCACTTCCTCGCTTTCCGAGCATGATTGCCACACGATGATGCTTGATGCTATGCCACTAGAAACGTTCCAGTATATTATGGGAGCCCTGAAACGACATACGACTTTTTGAGTTTCCGAGTTTTCGAGTTTCTGAATTTCGTATCTTATATAGTACTAGAGATGGAGGTCAAGCAAGGGTCACACAGAAAAGATTGTAAATACGTGAGAACACGCATTGAGAAATGTTTTTAAGTCGAAAACAGACACACTGTGCATGCGTTATGACGGAGATTCTAAATTTAAATTAGGCCCTATGCCTTCCCGCTTAATAGAACACACATTTACTGTCATCGTAGGGGGATTCTAAATTTTAAATTGTTTTTTCCCGCTTAAAACAACACACATTTACTCTCACCGAAGGGGATTCTAAATTCAAATAGTATTTTCTGCTAAATAACACATTTAATCTCACGGTAGGCTATTCTAAATTTAAACTGACTCTCTGCTTTAATGTCACGGAATAACGCATGCGCAGTGTGTTTATTTTGGGACTTTTTCTACGACTCTCTCAACACTTTATATATATTGATCGGAAATTCAGAAACTCGAAAAGTCGCATGTCGTCTCAGGTCTTCCATAGTATATAGCGTTTTATTTTGTACATTTCTGCTACAGTGGCGCCGCCACGGTTGCACGTCAAACAAATTACTTATTATGACTCATCCATACCTGATGAGATACCTGATGAGATACCGGATGAGATTCAGGTTAGGGATTCGGATCTTAGTTTTGGCTATGGGATTATTCGTGAACGTTGGTTAGGATGCTTGACGATCATTGGTAACGATGGCGACGGCGGACGCAGTCTTATTCGTATAAGGTTTTTGATTTCCTTTGGTAAATTTACGTGTTATATATAGGAGAAAGTCTTGGACTGGTGAAGGAGCTTGGACCACGGCAATTGTCACTCGGTATGTAAAGACGATGTCCCTACGTGTACGTTCTTTGTCCGATAATTTATTGTATCTAAAGCCGTGCGCACACGTGGCGATTTTTATCGCTAGTAGTCGTCCAGTTTCGGGCGAGCGTCCAAATACGCCGGTACATTCCATACCACGAGCGCTGCCATGTTTAATCACGTGCTTCAAATCATGCATTTGATTGGTTAATCCAAAAACTGTTGCCTGAATCCGTCGCCAGTACAGCGCACACGTAGCGATTGTTCAGCGACTTGGCAACAAATATCAAACATGTTTGATATTCCAGCGACGAGTTTCTGGTGTCAAAATCGTCATCGCCATGCAGCGCACACGTGCCGATTTCTCGGCGATTTTGTTGCTGGCAACAAAATCGCCAGTGCTAGCGATAAAAATCGCCACGTGTGCGCCCGGCTTTAAATTATAAAATGCGAAAACGCCGTATACAGTCATAACCATGCTTTTCTTATTATTTATTGCATGCTGTCCGCTTTTCTGTTTCTGAGAGTGGGTTCAAAACATAAATTCATAGTTTAGGGATTCTTCCGTTATGATATAAAAATCATGTACTTGTTACAGAGTCCAACGAAGTACCTAAAGTAGTTTTATAATGCCACAAAAGTGTACACCGCTCTCCGATTATGTGCGCATGGTATACAGCGCATGCGCGCGAAACGGCCATTCTAATTTTCCCGTCAGCCGCTCTCTTACATGTGATTGATGTAGTAATTAGATGTCACTGATTACAGGTATAAAAGATTAAACAGATATAATGACACAATGTTATATATTAACACGTCCAGTAGTAGGAAGGAAACTGATGTGTGACGTCCACATTCTTCATTCGCAATTATTAATTATGGACACGAATTACCCCATAACAATTAACACCTGAATAAATAAATAAATAAATAAATAAATATATATATAATTATATATATATATATATATTATTATATATATATATATATTGTTATATATATATACATATATATATATATGCGTTAGCTATCAGTTCTTCGCCTAATTTCACCGTACAACTCTTTCGGACTCGGGAATCGCTTTACAGCAGGCATTCATGCACGTTTACCACAGCAACCACCTCTGTGAGCGGTACGCCCGCGTATACGGGGCGCCATGCAGGACAGGTTAATTATGTGTACAAAACCAGACAAAATTGAGTTTTATACCACTAAAATCAATTCTGTTGCACAAAATCCAATGATGTAAAATTCTGATATACAAAATTCATTTTTGTTACAAAGGATTCAATTTTGTAAGACAGAATTGAGTTTTGTGTTCACAAAATTGAGTTTTGTGGGACAGGATTGACAGGTGGGATAGGGATTGACAGATACATTGAGTTTGTGTTCAACCAAATTGAGTTGTGTTCACAAATGAGCTTGTGTTTAACAAAATTGAGTTTATGTGGGACCTGGAATTGACAGAATTCGAGTTCTGGTTAATCAAAATGAGTTTGTGGACAGGATTGATAGAATTAGTTTGTTTCACAAAAGAACCATTGTGTTCACAAAATTGACTTTTGGGAGAGGCAGAATTGAAGTCTGTTCGCAAAAGGATGTTTGTGTTCACAAATTGAGTTTTGAGACAGATATGAGTTTGGCACAAAATGAGTTTTGTCCCAAAACTCATTTGTCAAGTATAGTACAAAATGAGCCATGTCCTACTTGGCGCCCCGTAGCGTATGTGTGTGTCCTGTCCGCGTAGACCGTATAGTTTGCTATAGCTCCCACTGCAACGCACACGCAAGCTGTAGTCTACACACACGAGCACTGAATTCCTCATCGATGTAATCATGGCCGTGATGATCGTCCACTTCCGGATGTACATCCGCTGTACTCTAATCCGGGTATTGCGGTCGACGCAGCCCCTATCGCCAGCCGACAGTGCTTCGCTCGCGCTTTCTCTCTCTCTCTCTCATCTTCCTCTCTCTCTCTCTCATCTCTCCCCCCCACCCCATCTCCATCTCTCTCTCTCGCTCTCTCTTTCTCTGCTAAGTATACACACACAGTCCCTCTATTGGGGAAAAATTCGCTTTGCAACAAATTCTTTATTCTTTCTCTTCTCTTCTTCTATTTCTCTGCAAATTTATTTTGTCTATGCTGCGTGGCGGGAGAAGGAGTGGACGAGGAATCACAGCGCCCCCATAGCCCCTTCCCTGCTCACTTAATGCGGGACGCACTGAATGTTAAAGAACTGCTGTCCCAGGACGAAGGTAATCAAACACGCTCTCTCTCTCTCTCTCCACTCTAGAGTACGACGTATGCCTGTATGTGGTCTTGTCGGGGTGTGTGTGTGTTGTGTGTTTGTGTTGTGTTGTGTGTGTGTGGTGCATGTTGTGCGTGCGTGCGTGGCGTGCTGCGTGCGTGCGTGCGTGCGTAGCGTGTGTGTGTGGTGTGTTGTGTGTGTTGTGTGTGTGTGTGTGTGTTGTGTGTTGGTGTGTGTTGTACGTGCGGGCTGTAATACGCTCGTGTAGTGGTTGAGACTTCACCGCCGAGCTGCGTCTCAATCTCACGCGTACTTAAGTACGAATCGTGTCGACTATGTCGTGCTTTAGAGAAATGGCTGGAAGACGTCGCGAAACCGGGACAACGTGCCGTAACTCGTTGTTGTGTGTCATGCTGCAACCCTCAACGCGCCAGCCCGCATCTTTGCGGACTGGTTATAGTAGAGCACTGCGCGTGGCAAGCCTGCAGCTCATCAGGTCTATGTCCCCGCAGGGACTGCCCGAACGTTACCCTGGGACGCGTCCGGTATAGCCGGAACGTACGCTGGTAACTATCTGATAATGTAGGGTTTGGTTAGGGTTAGGGTCAGGGCTAGCGGTTAAGCTAGGCGATCCTAGAAACTCGTTAGTGGTAGGCGAGGGTACGGTCTAGCATATAGATAGTAAACCAGGGTACCGGGTTCCGGATACCGGACAGACGCCCGGTACCCAAGTACGTTCCGGCAGTACCCTGGGGGAACATAGACCCCTCTCACTATAACTGCAGTGTCTCATAATTCCGCATGACCGAATGTGTTTGGAAAATTTGTAGAAACTTGTTGTGGTGTGTGGTTGTGCTGTGTTTGTGGTGCGCGCGTGTGCGTGCGCGCGCGCGTGTCGTGTGTGTTAGTGTGTAGTGCGTGCTGTTGTGGCGTGTGCGACGCTCGTGTGCGTGTGCGTGTGTTCGTCGTGCGTGGCGCGTGTGCGTATGTGTATTGTGTGTGTGTGTTGTGTGTGTGTGAGTGTGTGTGTGTGTGTGTGTGTGTGTGTGTGTGTGTGTGTGTGTGTGTGTGTGTGTGTGTGTGTGTGTGTTTATGCGTGTACGTCTGCGTGCATGATAGTGGATGTAGCAGATGTGACCGTAGCAATTTGATATTGGGGGTCCCGCGTGTTTGGTTGGCGGACACAAATCTATGTCGCCAATGACGTCAGAGTTTGCATCATCTACCATGAAAAAAATATATTTATAAAGCCTGTGCATGCACTATGGATCGGTGAGAAACTTCCCCCTATGGTGAGCGCCCTCCTTATAATTTGCGAATGGACATTGGTGTGTTTAACAGGGCGCATGGCGCATTGCACATGGGGCATGCGGGTTTGACCTTTTTGCTCATAAGCAACGTATATAGGGCGCGTTCGCCATAAAGGGCCGATGTCTGTCACGCTTCACCAGCCTATGGATTTCACGACAACTTTCATGCGCACGAAGTGATGAAATCCAAATCACGTGAAATTGACTAATAAATAAATTAACAATGGATACTATATCATATCACTTCCTATCGGCACGTCAGTCGACAATCCCCACCCCTCACCCCCCGCCCAGCGCCCGCCGCCCTACTGGTGCGCATTAGGAACGCGTACCCGGCGACATACGCCATATTGTGACGCGTAACGTCATGTGTGCCGTCACGCGTCTGTTGCAGACGACGAGTACAACGTCTACGTGAAGACGGCTGCCGACTCTCACCCTACAAGCGCTCCCGTCGTCCATCTTACCGCCTACAGCCAACTGTCGTGCTCCGACGAGTTCATACTCGTTAACAACGATCCCGCCATCTTGCGGCCGGATTCAGAAAATTTGTTTGAGGTACGGATGATCGGTCGGACATCTGTAGTTTAGGGTGTGTTATGACCTTATAGGTTTATATTACTGATATGTTTATTTGTTCTAGTCTTCTCGACGAGAAATGGATATGCCGTCCCCTCAATCCCTGCTCCCCATCGCTGCTGATATTCGTATCAGCTTGTGTTTCTTCTTTCTTCATTGTTGTTCAACATTCATTCGCCCTTTCGCACTATACATAACCCTTTGCGATGAACTATAGAACTGCGTAGTATACATTGTTTAACCGTGTCTATTGGCGCCTTCCCCTGTTCCAACTATACCTTGTCTTCGAAGAAATCCAATGCAAATCCAAAGCAGAATCCAAGGATCCAAAGCAAAAGCAGAATCCAAAGATTCGAAAAAGATCCGAAGCAAACTAAGACACAGCTCTCGTCTGTTCTCAGTAGTAATAATACGTCATACAGTTCATAGAACCGTATAGACACAGAACGTAGCCGATCTAACAGTACATTACGGTGGACTGACCATCTTGTTGTCGTGTGATTTTCTAGATGGTACTGCATAACATTCGACCCATCGTGAAGGTGCGGTTACGGCTTGGAGAAGGACAGGACGACTGGGAGGGCTGGCACCTGGAATCGGTATGTCCAACAAGGAGAGACAGAGTGAGGTAGCGAGAGAGGGTGTAAGCGAGAGAGAAGCCGGGGAACACAGAGAGAGACAAACAGATAGATAGATAGTTAGATAGAGAGAGAGAGAGAGAAGAGAGAGAGAGAGAGAGAGAGAGAGAGAGAGAGAGAGAGAGAGAGAGAGAGAGAGAGAGAGAGAGAGAGAAGAGAGAGAGAGAGAGAGAGAGACGTACGTACGTACGTACGTACGTACGTACGTACGTACGTACGTACGTAACGTACGTAACGTAACGTTACGTAACGTACGTACGTACGTACG